CTTTATTCAGCACTGAAGAGACACCATGCTATAGTACGAAGCATTAAGTTTATGAAAAAGTCAGCATTGATTTTGACTCCATAAACTGTCATAAAGTATTCATAAAGTATCAGGGGTCATTTCAACTTGCAAAATGATTGACATAGTCCTTTATAGAGCGAGGATTGGGCTGTTTTCCCACCCGATTGACTGATATTACATGGTTTAGAACGGTACAATGAATGGTTAAGCATGCATATTACACTAATACGCGATATTTCATAAGAACATAAAACATAAAACCAATATTTATGAGTCTACATATTGATATAAGACTTTATCACTGTATCCAATTCCAAATTTTTAGATATAAACTTAGGACAGTTCAGTTTGCAATTCTTCAACCTTTAATTCATCACAGGATGTGTAGCTAGACGACGGGAATCTATAGTCTTGACTGTGTTTTCTTTGATGAGAATGTTTCTCACCGACCTTAGCGTGCAGGGGTGTGATATCCTGGGCAGGAAATGACAGTGTTTTGACTACTCCTCTTTCATTAATTAACGTGTTGGGCATCCCTAATGAACCTTTACTAATTCATGTTAAACCAACACAGGATGTTTTCTGGAAGTGGACAATCGCGAATGGCATAGGGCTGACACGACACGTGTTAATAACTTCTTAAGTTACTAAACAATCTTTGTACCTAACGACTAGCATATAAACATCGTCTCTGATTTGACCGTGACGGGGCTTCTCCCTTAACTCAGAAAAAACAACAGGAATAGTATTCAAACATAAAAACATGAAACCCGCCTCCCCAATCCTCCAGCTAAACAACCAAACAATCAAATTTCAAAAACAAACCAAATTCTTAGGACTTATTTTCGATGAACATCTCACCTGGGATGCTAACATCCAAAACCTAACAACTAAATGCAGTAGAGACCTAAACACCCTAAGATGCCTCACTGGCTCAAACTGGGGAGCCTCCAAAGATACCCTCCTCTCACTCTACATATCACTAATTAGATCAAAACTAGACTACGGCTGCGCCATATACAACACCCTAAACAACTCTCTATCTAAAAAACTTGACTCAATACAATATCAGGCTCTCAAACTAATTACACGCACCCAACATGGCACCTCCTACACTTCACTTCAGGCCTTAACAGGAGAAATGCCACTAAGTCTACGCAGGGAACAGCTAAGCTTAAATTTCTGGGCCGCATCCTAATCAAACCCTCTGATCCAAAACTTAATAAACCAAAATATCAGCCCCAAAAACCAAGCTCTAGCTCGTAAACACCCCTTACTTACCCCAATATCCCAAAGAATAACAAACTACCTAAATGAACACCAAATAAAAAATCTTAAACAAAACTGCAAACAATCAAATATCTTCACCCCTAAACTTAAAATACCCAAAATAGACACAACACTAGCTAGCCAAATAAATAAACAAACCGACCCAAACATAGCTAAAACCACCACACTAGCATACATACACGAAAATTGGCCAAATTGGTGTCACATTTACACGGACGGATCTTCAGATCCGACCTCCAAACACACAGGTTTCGGAGTCCATACCACACAACCAACTAAAACTACACAATCCTTCCGACTCCCAAACAACCAATCAATATTCACGGCAGAACTAATGGGCATGGCCTCAGCCCTCCATAGTCAAGAATCCAAAAAAAAATGGCATAACCTATATCTAAACTCAAATAGCCAAATCAAAAAAGTACTCAGCAAACCACTAACCAAACCAAAAATTCACCATCCATCAAAAAAAATCGACAGAGTAATCACTAAACTCCAAACAGGACACACCAACCTAAATAACCACCTAAAAAAAATTAAAAAACATACTACAGGTAACTGCCCACACTGCAAACAACTAGAAACCCCAGAACACGCACTCATCTACTGCACACACTACCTAACACATCGAACCGCATTACAAACCACCCTCAATCTAAACAAGGCTCTCACTCTAGAAGCAATACTAAACCCACAAAATAAACTAGAAAACTTCAAGGCCTTAGGCGTATTCTTAATCAAAACGGAACTAATAAAACGCATCTAAAAACACTATAATCCACCAAATCAAAATTACATAAACACACAAACATCCACCATACCCAGCTCCCTTAGTTCTCCTCCCCTACCCCATCGGCATCTATTCCAAATCTCAAAATTCCCAAATTCTATATAAGCAACCCCTAAAGCCCCCTCTTGGGTTGCACACACCACTTTCGCCCCTTTCGGAAACACATTAAATGGCCTGGCCGGGCCCGTGTGCGAAATACGCATCAGTCGGAAAGCGCACGTTAAATCTCCAAAGTAGGTAAGTAAGAAAGTAAGTTGACCGTGTGCTATCCACACAATCTTACCGACTCCCTAACAACCAATCTATATTCACGGCCGAACTTATGGGCATGGCCTCAGCCCTGCATAACCAACAATCAAAAAACAACAAAAAGATCCTAATTCTCACTGACTCGCTTAGTGGGCTACAAAGCCCTCCAAAACAAAAATACCAAAAAACGACCTAAATTAATAAACCAAATACTTAAAAGCTCCAACGACCTAACAAAAGCAGGCTAACAATCTAGAAATAAACCAACCCTACAAAATGGAGGAGCTCCTCTACGTAATCCAAAACAGGAAAAAGGGCACAGCCCCAGGATAAGACCTAACTTCTTAACAAATAATTAAAAAAAACCACCTAAAACTATATCCTACTCCCTGGAAACAGGCCCTAGTCATACCAATCCCTAAACCTAATAAACCAGCTAATCAAGCTAACTCATATCGACCAATATCTCAACTTCAAACTTATGCAAAGTAATGGAATCAATGGCTAAAAATAGATTACAACATTACCTAACCCAAAATAACATCAACTATTGAACTGCATGGCAAGTATTTATAAAACGACCGGGGGCGGAAATATTCTGGGGGGAGATTTTATTTCGTAGGGTGGGGGAGAGTTTATTTCGAGAGGGGCGGAACTGTACCGGTATAAATTCGCCGGGGGGAGACTTTATTCTGGGGGCGAATATATTTCGTGACACCGGCCTATTTGCCCACGAGTAGGCGTGCGTCCCAAGAGTGCACCATTGTGAAGCGCTCTTGTCGTCATGGTAGAATGAAATACATTTATACATTTGAAACCTCGCTCTAGAGCACTCGGTTCCAAATAAAAATAAGAGGTATCTAACTTACAGTTAGACTACTTCTAATATTACAGAGATCTACACAGACGGGTTATCGCCTTGTTAACACCCCCATTGGTGACCAACTCGTGCCATTCCGGGACACGCCGAATGGAAACTCGAGCCCGTCTCGAACGTTTCCATATTGGCGTATGAAAAAGAACGATAACTCGTATTCTTCCCGCGTCTCATAGTGAGACATGTAGTCGTCACAGCAGTGCTCGCTTATACCTGTTGTAAAATTATTGAACCTCTCCGATATAAATGTATTCTTTGTTAAAATGTACAGAGGACAATAAATCCAACTTATATATCATCAGCTGTTCATCTTATATTTGCAAATTATAATTTTTAAATACGATTTTAAATTTCAATGAAGAAAACTGACAAGACGAAGGTGGATTTCGGTTTTAAAAATTCAACAATGAATGTTTTATGCATATTCACTTAAGGGTCGCTACTTTGATTTTGTCTTTTCCTAGTTTAAAACGGGATTTTCAAAGTTATTTATTTCCTGATCTTGCACCCCGTTTTATGGAATGCTTTTTCTATCCACAACACCCGACCCACGTCGCCGAGAGATAGGCCCATAATATTATGTCATCGAAGAGAGAGGACGGATTCCACGGCAAGTTGTTGCGTCGACTACATCGACGGTGAATGGTCCCAGTCCGACTTCCGGTGTGTGTGTAAGTTGCGGGATACATTAAGAGTTTCAGATGAATCTGATATTTTCAAGCGCCATATTGGATTGAGTCTACAATTGAAACTAGGCTACCACTCAGGCAAGTCGGCCATGTTTGCATATATACAGCCATCAGTCAGCAAGAAGAAAAAAGCACTCCTGACATAGTTATTTACAGATTTTCTTTTTAACTTACTCAAGTAAAAAACACAAGTACTTTGACCTGGAGTATCTGGAAATTCACAAAATATTTGTGACTGATTATAATCGATTATTCATCCTCTGGAACAAATCAACAGTTATCGATGTTATCTGCAAACACTGAGTGAGTGAGTGAGAATAGTTTTACGCCGCTTTTATCAATATACCAGCAATATCACAGCGGATGAGACCAGAAATGGGCTTCACACTTTGTACCCGTGGGGAATCGAACTCGGGCCATCGGTGTAACGAGCGAACGCTTTACGTTCATTTCTACACGAGCATTAGACATGTGTTCCCACGTGGCGGCCATATTGGATTTGTGTGTTTGCATGCTTCTGAGACTCAATAATAAAGTGTATTCTATATAATTGTGTTCGTGTATTAATTATAAATGCCAACCAATGAGGGTGCTAGCCTCCTCCTCCCTTGAATCACGAATACCGTCGACCCGTGAAGATCCGTAAATGGAGACTATGCTTGTCGTAAGAGGCGACTAACGGGATCGGGTGGTCAGGCTCGCTGACTTGGTTGATGCTTGTTACATGTGGTGAGAAGTGCCTATGTTTAACATCCTTTCATGAGCTGGCAAGATTAGTTGTGTATTTATTTTCTGTGAAACACATACCTAATACAATACTATATTTATGTTTTTGGTTTGTTTTTATTTCTCTCGCGTGAAATATCACCTTATGTCGGAATTTCTTTTCTGCCTCATTTAATTTTCCATGTGAGATCATGTATAATATATAAAATAATTTTCCTGTCAAATAACGTCCTTATCTTATATCGTCACTGTCCCACTCATGAAAATGTTAAATATTCTGGTCCTGTGATAATTATTACTTTTTCGTATTTGCTGTTCATCTTTTCACACATACATTCCAAGTTTTAGCTCAGTCTATTTCCGGCGTCAATAATGGAACGAAAAGCTACTTATAAACATGCCGCTGAAAGTGTGGAATCCATTCGAAATAGGAGACGACACGAAGACAACGGTTAGGGAATATGCTTTGTTGTTTGTCTAAGATGTTTCTGCATAAATGCAAATGTTGCCAACAGCAAGATATCTGCATACAATATGACCACCACTGATCGTCGTGGGGAGTTGTTTACGAGTGCTCGAGCCAGACTTACTGAGGCTCCTTTGGGGTTTCTCTTTTAGAATATCAACATGTGGAATAAAGGCATGCTCCTTTAGATGAAGGGACAGTGCGGAAAAGGGGGGCGAAAAATGTTTATTTAACATGCAAATCAGTTTTCAAGTTTTCTTTGCAAATGCTTCAAGTTCTGCATGGTGTGTAGAGCAATGGACTTCATTATTCAGGCCCGGATGCACTACGAGATAGAAAGACATATGTACATGTGCATATATATATTGGTTACAGACAACTAAATGTTTTACCATAGACTTTTATAGTAACTTGGTATTTTTTTTTAAATAACTAAGCATTCAAAAGTTATTACCTGTACATGTGTGCACAGTTTGGCCTTAGGGCAGCAATAAGAAACACAAAAATAACAAGCTTAGCCAGAATTGTTTGATAGGCATTACTTAGAAGTTGACGGTCATTAGCCAGTTCCTTTTCCGAGTACAGGAAGCTAAGCCCACCAGCCCCGGTTCCACACCAAATGTCACTTGCTTGAACATACCTGTAGTCACTTGTTGACAGGGTGGAGGCTAAGAAACATTAATATGATCTGCTACAAAGATGTCATCTGCCTTAAGGTAAAAGCAGTAGTCCCCACAACATGCACAAGGAAAGGCTGATCCACCCGTGAAGATCCAGGGTAGAATAGGTGTTCAGCAACCCATGCTTGCCGTACAAGGCCAGACTCGCTGACTTGGTTGATGCATGTCATCGTATCCCAATTGCGTATATCGATGCTCATGATATCAATCACTGGATTGTCTGGTCCAGACTAGATTATTTACAGACTGCAGTCATATAGCTGGAATATGGCTGAGTGCGGCATTAACCAACAACGAACAATCATTAGGGTCAGGCACCCCTTGTGAGGCAGGGTATGGGTTAGCCATCTAGTTTAACATATTAATCCAATGTACCTCCATACAATTCAAGCTTCAAGTTTCGCAGAGAGAAAATGGCTACTGCACGTGCACATAAAGGCAAACAATCGGGGCTGATGACTTGACTAACTGTGATAGTGCCCGTGTTGGTTGTTGGCTAATCAGATTCACTCATTAGCATAGCATAACTTCAAGCTGGCAACATGAGTTCGATCCTCCATGCAACGCTAATTGAAATCTTAAAAAGTGCGCCCGGTAAAGTGCACTACTCCCAAGACTTATGTTAATTTCGAACCCTAGACTGTTGTAATTTGAACCATGGTAACCATCAATCATTCAGATAAAGTGATGTTTTCTGGGGTCAATAAGATTGCAAGGGATTTTGTAATGGGTGATAAGATTGCTCTGATATAGTCCAGTATGACGATGATAAAACTGTGCATATGTTCCAGTTCAATAAACCTCATCTTGTCAACCAAAACTCAGACCCTCTATTCCTGAAACTGTCAATGTGCACGATATCTATGGGAGATTTCAGGACAACTTCTGTAGACGTACTGAGTCTGGGGAGACATAGTGTGGTACACACACAAGTGGTCAGTGATTGATGTCAGCTAGTTCTACATCTAAACTGTCATTAAGGTCAATGCAGACTTTGTGTGTACTAGATGAGGTGAGATGGGGTTCAAGCTTATCTCACTTATAACATGATGTGTTTGTGTGAGAAAGTGTGTGTCTGTGTGTGTGTCTGTGTCTCTGTGTGTGTGTTTCTGTGTGTGTGTCCGGACTTAGCCCAGTTTTAAAGTGTGAGCCCAATGAGATAACATGCCGCAGTTTAACATTGATACCTGACTCAGACAATATGCTGACTACACGATGCCCAGTCCTTGTTTTATCCACTTCGTGCCAAGCGCCAGGCAGGGAGGCAACAAGTACCATCTTTGGTATGACACAATGACAGCCAGGGCCTGAACCACCACCCTTCCACTGTTGTTCCAGTCTGTGTTGATGTAGTTGAAATCTTTTTCAGTGGTGAGAAAAGACAAGAGACAGCAGCTGCTGAATTCCAAACGATTCCGTCGCTGCTCTGCAGAATACCCAGAAATATCCAGTGAACAGGTACATCCAGCATGACCAATAGCGTAGGGAAGACAATGCAGCCATGAACAGCCCCTGGTCTTTGTGATTCAATATTCAAAACTGCCCCCCTGCCCGTGGCTGGTAACTTTTCTGTCAGACTGCGCAAAATTTTCCTCTACCTGCCCGACTATCTGGCTGATTATTTTAAGATTACTTATGTATTCAGTTTTATTATAGCGTCTCATTGATTTTCAAGTAATTGTTTGCATTATTTCAACTGAACCAAGAAGTGATTTGTCTCTTAGGTTTTGCGATTTTTCAATATTTATAATGTCTGAATGCAAGCAGGTGACTTTCAACATGGGCAGGCAACACTTATGGATCACCTGCCTGACTGTCTTGTTGGGTTTTAATAGTATTTCGAACACTGGTGTGATTATGGTTTTTGTCAGCACCATACCCGTGCTTGTAGGTTTCCCCAAAGTGGGAAACACCTGCATCACTTGGGGCTTTTAAAAGATAGGTCACAGTGGTGTCAATCAGTCACTACCCCTGATAATGATCTCACAGGAGTTTCTGCATCATGTACATGTTGCACCTTGACATCTGTTGTAAGACCATGCTGACTGTCACACAATCACACCTCTTCTACACACTATTATATCAGGCTTTTTCTGGACATACTCAAGAGGCTGATATTCGGTTCCAAGTCATCTTCCTGAGGCATTAACTGACTATTAAAGTCCAGTTTCAACCCTTGCCGAATTAGGATGGAATTTTGGAGTTATATTTTGGTTGGACTAACGAGTCTATGCATAGTCCAATCAAAATCGCGTAACAAAATAGACATCTGGTTCCTATACAACATGGATTTCAACAGATTTCTGTTGACTGCAGGATTTGCAAAACATGTTCACCGTCAACTGGGTGTCGACAGTTATTTTGCAGATCTTTTCATACATAATCAAGGTGCTCAAGTGATTTGATGCACTTTGCAGGGTAAGACCTGTTTTATTACAATATAGATCTTGATTATTGATAAGATGAGCCACCATTTTGTTGAAGCAAATACAATTGAGATGAGAGATAGAATTTGAGAATCCCAATGTTTAACAAAATAATAATTTTTTCCCCTAATTTGCCTGCCAAGGGCATTTTGTGTGGGGTCCTAGGTAAATATCCCTGTATGATATATAGGATGTTTTGTGTGACTCTCCTCTGTCCTCTGCCAGGTGATCGAGGCCACCAAGGACCTCCAGAAGAAAGGGGACAACCGACACAGGAGTCTGCAGACCCTCCGTAGGTCCTTCGCTCAGGGCTCAGCCTTCATTGATGTCTTTCTCGGGTGAGCAGACATTGAGACTTTTCCTTTTTGATGAGCACTCCTTCTAAGGCCAGACCATAAAATTATTATCCCCTGCCACGAAGTGGGGTGTGGGATATAGGAACGGAGTTAGTCCGCCCGTCCGCTTCTCAGAGGGGACGACTATTTAAGTCAGAGAAATAAAATTTTACACACTGATGTTACTGGTCATGAACTCAAATGAATTTGGTGTCATGAATTCAGTTATAGCCCTTGCTCTGCGCTTTTCAACATGCATACTGCGTGAAATGGGGACAAGTTTTCTCAGAAACCACTGAAGTTAAAAAGGTGAACGTGTGTGCTTACGAGTAGCCGTGACATTCAACAACGAGTCCTGTATTGGATCATTTATGTTTTGGCCCTTGCTCCGTGCTTTTGTTTGTTTGTTTATTGCTTAACTCCGCACTCAGCAATATTTCAGCTATATGACGGCGGTCTGTAAACAATGTCTGGACCAGACAATCCAGTGACTGACATCATGAGCATCGATCAGCAATTGGGATATGATGACATGCATCAACCAAGTCAGCGAGTCTGACCACCCGATCCCGTTAAACGCCTCTTACAATAAACACAGTCACCTTTTACGGAAACATGGGTTGCCGAAGACCTATGCTACCCCGGATCTTCACGGGTCGCTCCATGCTTTTCAACTTAGAGCATAGTGTGTGCAATAGGGACAAGTTGTCTCAGAAACTACTGACGTTACTTGAATGAAAGTTTGCATTGCTTATCGAAGAGATACTTGTCAAGAGTTCGAAAATTGCAGAGTTTTGGTCATGTTATTATACTTTGTGCAAAGTGAAGTGGTTCCAATGTTGGAAGGTTGATACTGATCCAATATAATATCAGCAGAGCATTTTCCTGTTTGGCCAATGTTGGCAACATGACATTAGTCCACTATGGGCCAATGTTGGCAACATGACATTAGTCCACCGTGGGCCAATGTTGGAAACAAGACATTAGTCCACCTTGGGCCAATGTTGGCAGCATGACATTAGTCCACCATGGGCCAATGTTGGCAACATGACATTAGTCCACCATGGGCCAATGTTGGCAACATGACATTAGTCCACCGTGGGCCAATGTTGGCAGCATGACATTAGTCCACCGTGGGCCAATATTGGCAACATGACATTAGTCCACCGTGGGCCAATGTTGGCAACATGACATTAGTCCACCGTGGGCCAATGTTGGCAGCATGACATTAGTCCACCGTGGGCCAATGTTGGAAACATGACATTAGCATGATTAGTCCACCATGGGCCAATGTTGGCAACATGACATTAGTCCACCGTGGGCCAATGTTGGCAGCATGACATTAGTCCACCGTGGGCCAATGTTGGAAGCATGACATTAGTCCACCCTGGGCCAATGTTGGAAACATGACATTAGTCCACCGTGGGCCAATGTTGGAAACATGACATTAGTCCACCGTGGGGATTTCACATACATTAAACTAGGATTATTTAAGGAATAACTTTTGGGGGAAACGTTGATTGCATAACTTCAACAAATACTTTCTATACATGCATCGATGCATTTAACATTTGTTGATTACAAAGATTCACATGATCATGCAAAATAAATCAAATTTTGTTAATTAGATTACAATGTACAACCAATATGAATGTTATTTGTGTTAAAAGTTCTTTTCTTTTTGCAGTTACTGCCTTATATGTTACCAATGTAATCAGCTGCCTGGCCAGACTGAGTTGGCAGTCATGACAACTTCAAGGGAGGCAACTCCCTCTGTTAAATGCATGCAACCCAGTATAAATGTATGATGCCAGTACTTCAGTAACCATGGTAACATTATGTCTGAAAATGTTAATAAATCATGGAATAATGGTACAACTTGTGGCAGTCACATGCTTTAGTCCACTTGATAAAGATTAGCATACACAACACTGTGTGGTGTGTTGCTGGTCGGCAGATGTGCAAGCCTAGCTTATGCCAGTTTGGGATTATTTATATAAATGAAATTGAATCTGATAATTTGCAGTTGATAAGTTTAACCTTTCTCCAAAGCAAGAGCGAGGGCGGATCCAGCATTTCCAAAAGGGAGGGAGGGGTCCAAAATATCAAACTCATCTCTCAGATAATTTTACTGCCTACAACATACTACATCTGTCTGCCAAACACACACAAAGTTTGAAGCCGAAAGGGTTGCAGTGATTATGCAGATCTACAGACTGCACGCAATCAACGGCGAATCAACACAATCACTGGTGACGATTCAAGCTTACTAAACTTGCATTATGTTAATCTTACCTGTCCATGTAATTGGACTAATCTTGTCTGAAAAACAAACATTGCTAATACAAGTCAATGCAGCAATTGCAGTGTTTTCTCGCCATTGCGCTCTTCCAAACAGCGCTAGTTATTAACTCGGTTATAGTGCCAGTAAGGCATGGCTCCCAAAATTTACTTACATTTTTAATAAACCTAAGTTTTCCAATGACACGATGTCTTCCCCAATTCCAAAAACATTATCAGCTAATCATTCAATATTGTTTACATTAGTTTGGGGGAAATCATGTGTGATGTGATCGGGAGATCGCACAACTCACCGTTATTTACAGCAACTGCGGTCAGTTTACCACTGGTGACACCTTCAAACAAACTTTAGTTGCAAGAGAATGGATACATATTTCACGAAAGGTATATAACGAACAATGTATATAACGAACTGATTTCTCCGGTCCCTTCTAGTTCGTTATATCCATGTTCTACTGTATTATTAAATATTTTGGGATTATAGAAGTTTCAAATGCATTGTTGAAACAATGTTGGCCCAATATCAGCATGCCATCTGTGACATGCCAACCTACAACCAACATTGGCCCAGTGTCAGTGTGTTTGCTGGGACTGGATTCATATATGTTGACAACATACAAGTGCACTGCCAAATATATAAAACAAATTAAACTTGTTTACTTTTCTAATAATGCCATGTTTCGATGGCAACTGGACAATAAGGTCAAAACTTATGGTCGCATTCTGAATAAGCTATTGCTTTATAATTGTAATTTAGGAATAAACTCCCTACAGTGTCTGGTGGAGAACTCCCTACAGTGTCTGGTAGACAACTCCCTACAGTGTCTGGTAGACAACTCCCTACAGTGTCTGGTGGAGAACTCCCTACAGTGTCTGGGGGGACTCCGACTTCAGTACTAATCCTCCTGCTATGTTCCAGGGTAGACAACTCCCTACAGTGTCTGGTGGAGAACTCCCTACAGTGTCTGGGGGGACTCCGACATCAGTGCTAATCCTCCTGCTATGTTCCAGGGTAGACAACTCCCTACAGTGTCTGGTGGAGAACTCCCTACAGTGTCTGGTAGACAACTCCCTACAGTGTCTGGTAGACAACTCCCTACAGTGTCTGGTGGAGAACTCCCTACAGTGTCTGGGGGGACTCCGACTTCAGTACTAATCCTCCTGCTATGTTCCAGGGTAGACAACTCCCTACAGTGTCTGGTGGGGCTCCTGACAGGAAGTGATGCTGACCTCCAACTCGAGGCTGCCTGGTGCCTCACCAACATTGCAGCCGGCACCCACGATCACGCCATGGCTGTCACCAAGACCGCTGCACCCTATCTCATCACCTACCTTGGCAGTAGCAACCATCTCCTAACTGTAAGATATGGCAGCCATTTGCAGGTTGCGTAGCAACATATTGAATCTTCCTGACACAAAATCTTGGGTCTATTTTCTTTGTAAAACTTTTCGTGGAGGAATGATGTGATCATATTCTGCTGTTCTGTTTCAGTCTATAGGATTTGCAGTAGTTTTCAGTACTTATCCGGGGTAGAATAGGTCTTCAGCAATACATGCTTGCCGTAAAAGGCGACTATGCTTGTCAAGGCGACTAATGGGATGGGGTGGTCAGGCTTGCTGACTTGGGTGATGTATGTCATATCCCAATTGTGTGGATCGATGCTCATGATGTCAATCACTGGATTGTTGGGTCCAGACTCAATTTTTTTACAAACCACCATCATATAGCTGGAATATTGCTGAGAAGAGCGTTAAGCAACATTCAGACAAACAAACAGTACTTACCTAGTGCAACCATTAAATATTGCAAGGCAGTTCTCAGTGTGGGACAAATGTATATTTCCCTTAGAAAGTGCCTGTATGACTTTGTTTGTTTGTTAGTTTGTTGATTTGTTTAATCCCGCACCCAGCAATATTCCAGCTATATGACGACGGTCTGTAAATAGTCAAGTCTGAACCTGACAATCCAGTGATTGACATCATGAGCATCAATCTATGCGATTGGAATACAATGATATGCATCAACCAAGTGAGCGAACCTGACCACCCAATCCTGTTAGTTGCCTCTTACGACAAGCATAGTCGCCTGTTACAGCATGCACTGGTTGCTTAAGACCTATTCTACCCCTGATCTTCACGGGTCACTAGAGATGTACTACAACATATCACAGAACTATCAGGAGACACCCGAAAGACGTACAACCGAATGACTACGTAACTGACAAGCAAAGTCTACTACTGAGATGATAAAATTATGATTTTGATGTAAAAGTTCCAATTGGAACCTAAAATTATGCTATTATGCTTGTTCTTTCACAAATTATGATTTTTGTTATATGTTCACAAATTATTTACATGCTTAAATCATGGAGAGCAAATTGTTAATGCACCAATGACATGAAGCATTCTACAGTCAGACTGTGCTGACCAATGAAAGCCATGCTTTCAATCCACATAGTGTTATAATTCCTATTACTCAGTGATACAAGATCTCTGATTGGTTGTTATGTTAAAGGGCGGTCGGGTAGCCTAGTGGTTAGAGCGTTCCTTCATCACGCCGAAGACCCGGGTTTGATTCCTGACATGGGTACAATGTGTGAAGCCCATTTCTGGTGTCCCCGCCGTGATATTGCTGGAATATTGCTAAAAGCGGCGTAAAACCATACTCACTCACTCACTTGTTATGTTAAAACACACTCAAGTTATTTTATCGCTAGATCTTTGTGGATGCAGACAGGGAACTAGTTGTATGTACACCGATATTACTTCGGAAGTAGAAACATCACATTATCTTTTTAAAAAACAGTTATTAATTAGTGTCACATGAAATTTTTTATAAAGGTGTGGAGCGTTGACCAATTAACTAGGACTAATGAAACAGTGGAGGTCGGAGATTCGTAAAGGTTACGACATTATTTGTTTTCACGTGAAAATTACTCTTTTTTTACCCTACTGATTACTGCAAAACTAAATTATGTTTGGCATCTCTGTAGCTAAAATATTCATTCATGACAAAACAATATAGAAATTCTGCCATCTGCATTACGCATTCCTTTAAACTTAGAAAATGAGAGTTTTTCGGATAGCATTCTCTAATAATGGTTCATTCCTCAATCATGTTTGTCTGTCAGTCTGTTAGTCTGTCTGTTAGTCTGTTAGTCTCTCAGTCTGTTAGTCTGTTAGCTACTGAGGATAGCGTGCAAACAGTGGGACCTGGCTGACTGCCATCATGCCCAAGTAGACCTGTGAAGATCCGGGGAAGAATAGGTCTTCAGGGACCCCTGCTCTTTGTAAGAGGCAACTAACGGGATCGGGTTGTCAGGCTTGCTGACTTGGTTGATGAATGTCATCGATCCCAATTGTGTGGATTAATGCTCATGATGTCAATCACTGGATTGTCTGGTCCGATTAACTACAGACTGCCGTCTATAGCTGGAATATTGCTGAGTGGGGATTGTTGCTCATGCCTCATCCACTTGTTGGCTTGCCCTCAGTTACGTAAGGATGTGGACAACGCATTAATTGACTGACTGATTGCAGGACCAGTGTGCATGGGCACTGGGAAACCTGGCGGGAGACAGCAAGCAGATTAGGGAGATCCTCCAGGCACAGGGATGTGTCCTCCCGCTGGTCAAGCTGATCGAGGTACGTATGTCTGTGTGTGGGTGTGTGGGTGTGTCTCTCCTACCGCTGTCAAGCTTATTGAGGTACGTGTGTCTGTGTGGGTGTGTGTCTCCAGCTGGTCAAGCTCATTGAGGTACGTGTGTCTGTGTGTCTGTGTGTGGGTGTGTCTCACCTACCGCTGGTCAAGCTCATCAAGGTATGTGTGTCTGTGTGGGTGTGTGTCTCCAGCTGGTCAAGCTCATTGAGGTACGTGTGTCTGTGTGTCTGTGTGTGGGTGTGTGTCTCTCCTCGCTGGTCAAGCTCATTGAGGTATGTGTGTCTGTGTGGGTGTGTGTCTCTCCTCGCTGGTCAAGCTCATCAAGGTATGTGTGTCTGTGTGGGTGTGTGTCTCCAGCTGGTCAAGCTCATTGAGGTACGTGTGTCTGTGTGTGGGTGTGGGTGTCTCCTCCCTTTGGTCAAGCTCATCGAGGTGTGTGTGTCTGTGTGTGTGTGTGTGTCTCCTCCCGCTGGTCAAGCTTATCGAGGTATGTGTGTCTGTGTGGGTGTGTGTCTCTCCTCGCTGGTCAAGCTCATCAAGGTCTGTGTGTGGGTGTGTGTCTCTCCTCGCTGGTCAAGCTCATCGAGGTGTGTGTGTGGGTGTGTGTCTCTCCTCGCTGGTCAAGCTCATCGAGGTCTGTGTGTGGGTGTGTGTCTCTCCTCGCTGGTCAAGCTCATCGAGGTATGTGTGTGGGTGTGTGTCTCTCCTCGCTGGTCAAGCTCATCGAGGTCTGTGTGTGGGTGTGTGTCTCTCCTCGCTGGTCAAGCTCATCGAGGTATGTGTGTGGGTGTGTGTCTCTCCTCGCTGGTCAAGCTCATCGAGGTATGTGTGTGGGTGTGTGTCTCTCCTCGCTGGTCAAGCTCATCAAGGTCTGTGTGTGGGTGTGTGTCTCTCCTCGCTGGTCAAGCTCATCGAGGTATGTGTGTGGGTATGTGTGTCTCCTCGCTGGTCAAGCTCATCGAGGTATGTGTGTGGGTGTGTGTCTCCTCGCTGGTCAAGCTCATCGAGGTCTGTGTGTGGGTATGTGTCTCTCCTCGCTGGTCAAGCTCATCGAGGTATGTGTGTGTGTGTGTGTGTGTCTCTCCTCGCTGGTCAAGCTCATCGAGGTATGTGTGTGGGTGTGTGTCTCTCCTCGCTGGTCAAGCTCATCGAGGTATGTGTGTGGGTGTGTGTCTCTCCTCGCTGGTCAAGCTCATTGAGGTATGTGTGTGGGTGTGTGTCTCTCCTCGCTGGTCAAGCTCATCGAGGTATGTGTGTGGGTGTGTGTCTCTCCTCGCTGGTCAAGCTGATCAAGGTAGGTGTGTCTGTGTCTGTGTGTGTGTGTGTTTCTCTGTGTGTGTGTGTGGGGGGGGTCCCCTTTATGTGTGCCGGGCAGGGTAACAACAAGTACCATCTACTTCAACCACCTTTCCAAAGCTTGAGTCTTGTCAACATTTCGTCTAGTAACCTCAACTAACAATACACCATGTCAAGTCTTTGAAAGGCATTTAGAAATGATACACATAAGGAAGAGAAGTTATGGATGTCAACTTCTTTATTATGTTTCGGAGTATAAGCTTACTCCTTAATCAGGTGAATGAATGTTATGGACCAACAAAAGTAATAAGATAACGAAAGGTGGAAACTTAACAAGGAAAGCCAACAGATAATTGGCTGTGATAGGCATATAGCAACAGACAATGGAGGCCAACACTTCACAGTAATAGCGCTAATTGTTATGGCCAACTGGAAGCCAGGACTAAATTAGCACTGATTGGTAATTGGCAATGGACAATGGGCACACGGGAGGCCGGGGGTAATTATCACTGATTGGCAATGGACAATGGGCACACGGGAGCCTGGGGGTAATTATTACTGATTGGTTATTGGCAATGTACAATGGGCACACGGGAGCCCGGGGGTAATTATCACTGATTGGTTATTGGCAATGTACAATGGGCACACGGGAGCCCGGGGGTAATTATCACTGATTGGTTATTGGCAATGTACAATGGGCACACGGGAGCCCGGGGGTAATTATCACTGATTGGTTATTGGCAATGTACAATGGGCACACGGGAGCCCGGGGTATTAGCACTGATAGGTAAAGGAATAGAAATCGCACTGGTCACCTTTTGTTTTCTTATTACTTTTGTTGTTCTTACGTGTACATATATATGCTGTCTGTCTCATCACATTCATTCACCTGATGAAGGAGTAAGCATATACTCCGAAACGTTGTGTTCCTCATAATAAAGAAGTTGACATCCATAACTTCTCTTCCTCAATACACCATGTGTTAACAAAGCTACTGAAATTTATGCAGAAAGACAAGTTTGGGCAGACAGACTCAATTGTCATGAACCAGTGACCATTCACGATGTCTCATCAATGCTCAAGTCGACGGAAGCAACTGAGTGAAGCCTGTTTGCTAGTTGATCTACAGAGTAGTCTCCCCTGGGCACAATTTTGGCAGTTGGGGTAATTTTGCTTTCTAGTGGGTGTGTGGAAAATACCTGAAGACTGAGCGACAGATCCAGGAAACAAGTACTTGAACTTGTCTCGTTATGAATAAATGAACCATTGACTGGTTCTCAAGCGACACATTTTTGAAAACAGGTGGAATAATGGCTCTTTAGACTTTGTTTTGTATTTGTATTCAACCACCAATTTTAAAAATGTTTCTTGTATCTTGTGGTACAGGGTTTTACCACACAATATGTCCTGCATCCTCTTTACATGCTTGTTTGTTTAACACTACTCTCAGCAATATTCCAGCTATATGCCGGTGGCCTGTAAATAATCATGTTTGGACCAGACAATCCAGTGATTGACATCATGAGCAAGATCTACGCCCTTGGGATATGATGACATGCATCACCTTAGTCAGTGAGCCTGACCACCCGACCCCATTAGTCGCCTCTTACGACAAGTATGGGTTGCTGAAGACCTATTCTCTACCCGGATATTCACGGGGACCTCAGCAATTTAGAATGGATGCAAATCCCAGCTTGTGTTCCGACTCATCAGTTGTTACAGCTTCAGGTGTTCTTGTCGTCCTCAGTCACCGACGCCTGACGTGGTGCAGTGTGCAGCCTTCGCTCTCTCCAACCTTGCTCGCGAATCTGCTGACATCACAAGGTAACTATGGTAACAGTATGTTGTTCATACTGTTTCATCCTTGCATGTACTTGTATTGTTTTGTATAGACACCATAGAACAATTTTAGGCTAAAAAAATAATAGTCTTGGTTCTCAGGCACCACCATCACCATAAAAGTCTGCTGCACGTTTTGGCTTTATTTCCAAATATTCCGCGTCTCGAACACTTGACCCCGGCAGTTAAATGCTATGATGCTTAAGAACAACAATAAGTGTAAACACTGCCCTCCCGAAATGCCTGAGAACTAATTCTATTATTTTTTTAAGCCTTACAAAATGTATTTTCTCAACACTTGTCAGATTCATGTTAGGATTACACACTGGAACAGTAGACATGTTGCACATAGGGACAGATGAGTTAAAGTGGGTATGGCCTCAAAGTGCTTCTGCTGCTGGTCAGGAGTGGTGGGGGAGTCTAGTGGATCAAGCGTTTGCTCATCAGAAGGTTCTGTTCTCACCATGTGTGTGTAGCCCATTTCTGGTGTCCCTCTCTCTGATATTGCTAAAAGCGGCATAAAAATATACTCTACTGCTGGTCAAATGGTGACAGATGTTTCATCAGGTGCTGTCTTACTGTGTCTTAATTAATTATGATATTAATAGTCGCATGTAAAGCTCATGATATTAATAGTCGCATGTAAAGCTCATAACTCCATATGCAATGTAGGCTCAAAGTGCCACCTTATTATTACCCCGGTCAAAGGATCTGGGTGCCTGTGATTTTTCATTCTCAGCTCCCTGTGGAGTGTACAATCACAGCCAATGGATCAGTGTGCCTGTGATTTTTCATTCTCAGCTCCCTGAGGAGTATACAATCACAGCCAATGGATCAGTGTGCCTGTGATTTTTCATTCTCAGTTCATTTTTCATTCTCAGCTCCCTGTGGAGTATACAACCACAGTCAATGGATCAGTGTGCCTATGATTTTTCATTCTAAGTTCATTTTTCATTCTCAGCTCCCTGTGGAGTATACAACCACAGTCAGTGGATCAGTGTGCCTGTGATTTTTCATTCTCAGTTCATTTTTCATTCTCAGCTCCCTGTGGAGTATACAAGCACTTGATTACAATGTAGGCAGAAACATGCAGCAGCCCCTGGAGCACAGACTTGTTTTAAGACTTGAATGTATGTTGCAGGGAGATTGTGAAGTGCGGTGTCATCCACCCCCTGTCCCTGAGACTGAAGGAGGGCACAGACAACCACAGACTCGTCTCCGAGTTGGCCTGGATGCTGACGTATCTCACTGCCAGGTAAACAGGGCATCCATTTGACAGGCAATTCAGTGGCAAATCTGGGATGGGGTAAAGAAGGTACTTATTGAGTGGAGATTGGTCGCAGGATATCACAGTCACATGACATGAGATGGTCACATGACTTGAGATGGTCACATGACTTGAGATGGTCACATGACATGAGATGGTCACATGACTTGAGATGGTCACATGACTTGAGATGGTCACATGACTTGAGATGGGGTAAAGAATGTACTTATTGAGTGGAGATTGGTCGCAGGATATCACAGTCACATGACATGAGATGGTCACATGACTTGAGATGGTCACATGACTTGAGATGGTCACATGACTTGAGATGGTCACATGACATGAGATGGTCACATGACTTGAGATGGTCACATGACTTGAGATGGTCACATGACTTGAGATGGTCACATGACATGAGATGTCACATGACTTGAGATGGTCACATGACTTGAGATGGTCACATGACTTGAGATGGGGTAAAGAATGTACTTATTGAGTGGAGATTGGTCGCAGGATATCACAGTCACATGACATGAGATGGTCACATGACTTGAGATGGTCACATGACTTGAGATGATCACATGATGTGGGTGTCACACGTGAGGTATGTCACTCTTGTAAGATTATGTCAATGCTATAAAGAGCAGCTCTATGCAACTCACTTACTCACTCACTCACTCAGGGAACACATCAATGCTCAAAACTACCTGAATTCAAAGAGAATTTTCAGATTTTCTTGAAACCTACACAGTTCCTTCCTTCCAGTGGAGAACACACATCCGAAATTGTGTCACAAGGCTGTCTGGTGCAGGTGGTAGAATACCTCAACAAACTGTCCCATGAACCTCGTCAAGATGCACAGGTAGGTGGAATACCTCCAAAAACTGTCCCATGAACCCCGTCAAGACGCACAGGTAGGTTGAATACCTCCAAAAACTGTCCCATGAACCTCGTCAAGACTCACAGGTAGGTGGAATACCTTCACAAACTGTCCCATGAACCTCGTCAAGATGCACAGGTAGGTGGAATACCTCCACAGACTGTCCCATGAACCCTGTCAAGATGCACAGGTAAGTGGAATACCTGTGTTGACGGGCCATGTCACAATAACCTTGTGTTTACAGGCCATGACACAATTATCTCATGTAATGGGCCATGACACAATAACCTTGTGTTACAGGCCATGACACAATAATCTCATATTAATGGGCCATGACACAATAACCTTTTGTTACAGGCCATGACTCCCCTACTGAGGACATTGGGAAACATCTGCAGTGGCCCTGACGAGAACACGAAGCTGGCGCTTGAGAACCCATTCCTGCTGCCCGTCTTTGAGAAGTTCCTCGTCTCCCCTCACCGGCACATCATCAAGGAGACACTGTGGGTGCTCTCCAACATGACCAGTAAGTTCTTTATCTCCCCTCACCGGCACATCGTCAAGGAGACACTGTGGGTGCTCTCCATCATGACCAGTAAGTTCTTTCTCTCCCCTCACAGGCACATCGTCAAGGAGACACTGTGGGTGCTCTCCATCATGACCAGTAAGGTCTCTATCTCCCCTCACCGGCACATCGTCAAGGAGACACTGTGGGTGCTCTCCAATATGACCAGTAAGTTCTTTCTCTCCCCTCACCGGCACATCGTCAAGGAGACATTGGGGTGCTCTCCAATATGACCAGTAAGTTCTTTCTCTCCCCTCACCGGCACATCATCAAGGAGACACTGTGGGTGCTCTCCAACATGACCAGTAAGTTCTTTCTCTCCCCTCACCGGCACATCGTCAAGGAGACACTGTGGGTGCTCTCCAACATGACCAGTAAGTTCTTTCTCTCCCCTCACCGGCACATCGTCAAGGAGACACTGTGGGTGCTCTCCAACATGACCAGTAAGGTCTCTATCTCCCCTCACCGGCACATCGTCAAGGAGACACTGTGGGTGCTCTCCAACATGACCAGTAAGTTCTCTATCTCCCCTCACCGGCACATCGTCAAGGAGACACTGTGGGTGCTCTCCATCATGACCAGTAAGTTCTTTCTCTCCCCTCACCGGCACATCGCCAAGGAGACACTGTGGGTGCTCTCCAACATGACCAGTAAGTTCTTTCTCTCCCCTCACCGGCACATCGTCAAGGAGACACTGTGGGTGCTCTCCAACATGACCAGTAAGTTCTTTCTCTCCCCTCACCGGCACATCGTCAAGGAGACACTGTGGGTGCTCTCCAACATGACCAGTAAGTTCTTTCTCTCCCCTCACCGGCACATCGTCAAGGAGACACTGTGGGTGCTCTCCAATATGACCAGTAAGTTCTTTCTCTCCCCTCACCGGCACATCGTCAAGGAGACATTGGGGTGCTCTCCAATATGACCAGTAAGTTCTTTCTCTCCCCTCACCGGCACATCATCAAGGAGACACTGTGGGTGCTCTCCAACATGACCAGTAAGTTCTTTCTCTCCCCTCACAGGCACATTGTCAAGGAGACACTGTGGGTGCTCTCCAACATGACCAGTAAGTTCTTTATCTCCCAACACAGGCACATTTTATTTTTGTGGCAATTTTGCCAAATATTACAAAAAAAAATGAAAATGCTTTTTCACAGTGTCTTAGTATATGTCTCACCACTCATGTTATATGCAGGGGCAATGGTATCCCAGTCGTCAGAGGCACCGCAATTCCCTGTGCAGAACTGCTTGTGTCCATTGGGCACGCCAGAAACCTATGATTGTTGGTTTGAATCCCAGTTCGTCCTGATTATGTTTCAAGTTTTTTTAAGCACCAAATCCATCCTTGTGATTTTGAGTCTAAGACTTGCATTACTTCAGCTTTCCTCTCACATTAAGATTTCACACCATGATATAACTGGAAAACTGTTAAAAGCAGCATCAAAACCCAACTCATTGATGTTGTGTTGTTGCAGGTGATGAGAGTGTCTGTCGGTCTGTGGCCTTTGGACCCATCCTGGCCCACATCATAGAGAGACTGTCGGATGCCTATGATATCAAAGTAGAGGTAAGTGTTGTTGGTGCACCCTGGTTTGGTGCCTGGAATGGGTACAGACTTTACACTGTGTGAAGCCCATCCTTGATGCTGCCGTCATAATCAGAGGGACAGAAATAAGAGAGGCATTAAACCGTCTGCACTGAATGAGCAAAAAAAGGTTTTATGCCTCTTATATTTCTTTTCCTCTGACTAACATTGCCACGATCACTTGCCCTGTCTGAACCATCCCTTAGGGTCACCATGACCACTTGGCCTGTCTGAACCATCCCCTAGGGTCACCATGATCACTTGGTCTGTCTGAACCATAACCTAGGGTAGCCACGATCACTTGGCCTGTCTGAACCATACCCTAGGGTCACCACGATCACTTGGCCTGTCTGAACCATACCCTAGGGTCGCCACGATCACTTGGCCTGTCTGAACCATAACCTAGGGTAGCCACGATCACTTGGCCTGTCTGAACCATACCCTAGGGTCACCACTATCACTTGGTCTGTCTGAACCATACCCTAGGGTTGCCACGATCACTTGGTCTGTCTGAACCATAACCTAGGGTAGCCACGATCACTTGGCCTGTCTGAACCATACCCTAGGGTCACCACTATCACTTGGTCTGTCTGAACCATACCCTAGGGTAGCCATGATCACTTGGCCTGTCTGAACCATAACCTAGGGTAGCCACGATCACTTGGCCTGTCTGAACCATACCCTAGGGTCACCACTATCACTTGGTCTGTCTGAACCATACCCTAGGGTTGCCACGATCACTTGGTCTGTCTGAACCATACCCTAGGGTCACCACTATCACTTGGTCTGTCTGAACCATACCCTAGGGTAGCCACGATCTCTTGGCCTGTCTGAACCATACCCTAGGGTCGCCACGATCACTTGGCCTGTCTGAACCATACCCTAGGATCACCACGATCACTTGGCCTGTCTGAACCATACCCTAGGGTCGCCACGATCACTTGGCCTGTCTGAACCATACCCTAGGGTCACCACGATCACTTGGTCTGTCTGAACTGTACCCTAGGGTCGCCACGATCACTTGGTCTGTCTGAACCATACCCTAGGGTCGCCACGATCACTTGGTCTGTCTGAACCGTACCCTAGGGTCGCCACGATCACTTGGTCTGTCTGAACCATACCCTAGGGTCACCATGATCACTTGGTCTGTCTGAACCATACCCTAGGGTCACCACGATCACTTGGCCTGTCTGAACCATACCCTAGGGTCACCACGATCACTTGGCCTGTCTGAACCATACCTTAGGGTCACCATGATCACTTGGCCTGTCTGAACCGTACCCTAGGGTCGCCACGATCACTTGGTCTGTCTGAACCATACCCTAGGGTCACCACGATCACTTGGTCTGTCTGAACCATACCCTAGGGTCACCACGATCACTTGGCCTGTCTGAACCATACCCTAGGGTCACCACGATCACTTGGCCTGTCTGAACCATACCCTAGGGTCACCATGATCACTTAGTTTTCCGTGGTTTCATCAAAGACCTAGAGCTGTCACCTGTGTGAGGCTAAAAAAATGATAGTCTGGATTCTCAGGCACTGCCCGGATCATCATAAAGGCTGCTGCACTTTTCGTTTCTATTTCCATTTTCAAAATTAAAAAAAAATCTTAAATCATTCAGCGTCTTGAACACACGCCCCCATCCCCAAAATACAAACACTGCCCGCCCGCACACTCATTTCAAAAGCCATAGCTTGAGAACCAATTCTCCTCATTGTATGACAGGCAGCCTACCTTCTGTGTAATCTGGGATGCCATGGCGCCGACATCTGCACAGAGCTGATTCACAAGGGGGCAATGCCACAGATCGCCCTCCTGCTCAAGTCCCCCGATGTGGAGATGCTACACCTAGCCCTGTCCTTCTCAGAGATGGCGCTGAGACAAGTAGAAGCGGTACGTAGTGTTGCAGAGAAACACACACACACATAGCAGGCGCTGTCACCTCCTGTTTATACAATGCACTTGGCCGCCTTAGTCTAATTGGGGGCTTATACTCTATATACATTTAGATGGCGCTGATGTATGTGTGTATATGTATATATTGGTATTCCAGGCCAAGTTCCCTGTTGAGGAGAGTGACGGCGCTGATGTATGTGTGTATATGTATATATTGGTATTCCAGGCCAAGTTCCCTGTTGAGGAGAGCGACGGCGCTGATGTATGTGTGTATATGTATATATTGGTATTCCAGGCCAAGTTCCCTGTTGAGGAGAGTGACGGCGCTGATGTATGTGTGTATATGTATATATTGGTATTCCAGCCAAGTTCCCTGTTGAGGAGAGCGACGGCATTGATGTATGTGTGTATATGTATATATTGGTATTCCAGGCCAAGTTCCCTGTTGAGGAGAGCGACGGCGTTGATGTACGTGTGTATATGTATGTATTGGTATTCCAGGCCAAGTTCCCTGTTGAGGAGAGTGTCGGCGTTGATGCATGTGTGTATATGTATGTATTGGTATTCAAGGCCAAGTTCCCTGTTGAGGAGAGCGACGGCGTTAATGTATGTGTGTAAATGTATGTATTGGTATTCCAGGCCAAGTTCCCTGTTGAGGAGAGCGACGGCGTTGATGTACGTGTGTATATGTATATATTGGTATTCCGGGCCAAATTCCCTGTCGAGGAGAGTAACGGCGTTGATGTATGTGTGTATATGTATATATTGGTATTCCAGGCCAAGTTCCAGTTTGAGGAGAGTGAGAGTGCTGATGTATGTGTGTTTATGTATATATTGGTATTCCAGGCCAAGTTCCCTGTTGAGGAAACGACGGTGTTGATGTATGTGTGTATATTTATATATTGGTATTCCAGGCCAAGTTCCAGTTTGAGGAGAGTGACGGTGTTGCTCGGCTCGAGGGGCTGGAGTATCATGAGAATGAGATGATCCGGCAGCAGGCTCACGACCTCCTGGACACGTACTTCAACATCGGCGGAGAAGAAGATGAAGAAACTGTCATGTAACCATGGTAACCGTGCCCGAATGTGTAAGAAGGAGACCCTGTGTTGCTGCTGGCGGGGGAGGACGACGATGTCAAAATTGGAACAACTGTGGGATGCAACTTGTTTCCACAATATCTGTGAGATCAGTGCGCACAGCTGAAACAGTTCCAGCTGTATAACAAGAAACTGTAACCATGGAAACCATGCCTGAATGATCTGAAGAGAGGAGGGACCTGGCTTAATGCAGTAGACCTTGAAGCACTGGTGCTGGCTCTGTTGTCTGCTGGAATTGGGTGTGCAGAGTTGCTTCCCTTTGGGGCACCAGAAACCTGGGTTCAAATCTCGATTTGCCCTGTTTCTAGGTTTGTCAGCACCATACCCGTGCTCACGGATTACACCGAAGTGGTAAACGTCTGAGACCTGCATCACTTCAGCCTTTCCTCCCACATTAAGCTGACACGCCGTGATATAACTGGAATACTGTTAGAAGCGGCGTTAAACCAACTCACTCAGTCACCCGAGCCGCGTTAAACCAAATTCACTCACACACCCATCTTCCCGAAGCAAGGGAGTTAACTGACTATAAAAGTCCAGTTTCCACCCTTATGAAATTGAGTTGGAATTTTGGCTGGACTAATGAGTCCATGCATAGTCAAATTAAAATCGTGTAACACAAATCGATATCCGGTTTGTAAATTGCTGTGCAGGTTCTGTCGATTGCAAGATTTGCAAAATGTGTACCACCAAATCGGCATCAACAGACATCTTGTCAAATCATGTTTTTAATCAAGGTGCTCACGTTATTTGATGCGATTTGCGAAGTAAAGACTCACTTCATTACAATATAGATCTTGACTATCGATCAGATCGTCTTCACTGGGAGCCGCCTTTTGTTTGAAGCAAATGCAAGTGATATGAGAGGTGGAATCTGTTTGGTCAGTAGGAGGGATATAGAATGGACGTCTTGTAATAGCCACTAGTGGCACTACAATTTAGCCCAGAAATTCCAGCATAGTTCGACAAGGATGGTAACAGGACATCTACAGTCAGTTATCTCCCTTGCGTCAGCAAGATGTCACACATCATTCTTTTATTTTCTACACTCCAATCCTGGCTGTAAAAATAATTGTTAGATAAGACCTATACTCAACCTGGTACAGTGATGCTGAGAATTATGAAATTGTGACTGATTCTTCAGAACCAGCTCAAGTCAGGCATTATCATGGTTATATTTCTCATCCATAATTTCTCGCTTTCACCAAAGTCCTGTCATTGAATCAGTAACAATGTGCAGCATTTGTGGGTTGAATTGCATAAACAACACACACAACCACTGTACAATAAGACAATTAACATGTTATATACCACAGTATTGTTTGTTGTAAATATTTGTTGTGTACATGTAAAGGTATATTTTCTATATGATCCAGTTACTGTAGTCCACATGATTTGATTATCTATCCCATAATGATCGCTTCCCTTTGTAATGAAGTAGAAATTCAAACTGACAAAGAAAATAATTTCTGGAGTAAGAGTATTCGGCGTCACGACAGTCATCACTTGTTTGACAACGTAACGCTCAGTTGGTTGCGAGTTCAACTCCATGCATAGTTGTGGCCACCCACAGTGGGGAGCTTTGACGGGTGGCAGCGATAGTATAGAGAGCTTTGCGAACAGATTATCCCGTTGAGGAGCTTTGACGGGTGGCAGCGATAGTATGGAGAGCTCTGCGAACAGATTATCCCGTTGAGGAGCTTTGACGGGTGGCAGCGATAGTATAGAGAGCTCTGCGAACAGATTATCCCGTTGAGGAGCTTTGACGGGTGGCAGCGATAGTATAGAGAGCTTTGCCAACAGACTTTCCCGTTGAGGAGCTTTGACGGGTGGCAGCGATAGTATAGAGAGCTTTGCGAACAGACTATCCCGTTGAGGAGCTTTGACGGGTGGCAGCGATAGTATAGAGAGCTTTGCGAACAGACCAGCACTGTGGGGAGCTTTGACAGGTGGCAGCGATAGTATAGAGAGCTTTGCGAACAGACTATAACTGTGGGGAGCTTTGACGGGTGGCAGCGATAGTATAGAGAGCTTTGCCAACAGACTATCCCGTTGAGGAGCTTTGACGGGTGGCAGCGATAGTATAGAGAGCTTTGCGAACAGACTATCACTGTGGGGAGCTTTGACGGGTGGCAGCGATAGTATAGAGAGCTTTGCGAACAGATTATCCCGTTGAGGAGCTGTGGCAGCGATAGTATAGAGAGCTTTGCGAACAGACTATCCCGTTGAGGAGCTTTGACGGGTGGCAGCGATAGTATGGAGAGCTTTGCGAACAGACTATCCCGTTGAGGAGCTTTGACGGGTGGAAGCGATAGTATAGAGAGCTTTGCGAACAGACCAGCACTGTGGGGAGCTTTGACAGGTGGCAGCGATAGTATGGAGAGCTTTGCGAACAGACTATAACTGTGGGGAGCTTTGACGGGTGGCAGCGATAGTATAGAGAGCTTTGCGAACAGACTATCCCGTTGAGGAGCTTTGACAGGTGGCAGCAATAGTATAGAGAGCTTTGCGAACAGACTATCACTGTGAGGAGCTTTGACAGGTGGCAGCGATAGTATAGAGAGCTTTGCGAACAGACTATCCCGTTGAGGAGCTTTGATGGGTGGCAGCGATAGTATAGAGAGCTCTGCGAACAGACTATCCCTGTTAGGAGCTTTGACAGGTGGCAGCGATAGTATAGAGAGCTCTGCGAACAGACTATCCCTGTTAGGAGCTTTGACGGGTGGCAGCGATAGTATAGAGAGCTCTGCGAACAGACTATCACTGTGGGGAGCTTTGACGGGTGGCAGCGATAGTATAGAGAGCTCTGCGAACAGACTATCACTGTGGGGAGCTTTGACGGGTGGCAGCGATAGTATAGAGAGCTTTGCGAACAGACTATCACTGTGAGGAGCTTGGACGGGTGGCAGCGATAGTATAGAGAGCTTTGCGAACAGACTATCCCTGTGAGGAGCTTTGACGGGTGGCAGCGATAGTATAGAGCTTTGCAAACAGACTATCCCTGTGAGGAGCTTTGACGGGTGGCAGCGATAGTATAGAGCTTTGCAAACAGACTATCCCTGTGAGGAGCTTTGACGGGTGGCAGCGATAGTATAGAGAGCTTTGCGAACAGACTATCCCGTTGAGGAGCTTTGACGGGTGGCAGCGATAGTATAGAGCGCTTTGCGAACAGACTATCCCTGTGAGGAGCTTTGATGGGTGGCAGCGATAGTATAGAGAGCTCTGGGAACAGACTATCCCTGTGAGGAGCTTTGACGGGTGGCAGCGATAGTATAGAGAGCTCTGCGAACAGGCTATCACTGTGAGGAGCTTTGACGGGTGGCAGCGATAGTATAGAGAGCTCTGCGAACAGGCTATCACTGTGGGGAGCTTGGAAATTTAGGTATCTCCCATTTTCAGAGATTGTGTTTATCTCACCCTTTTTTTTTATAGATTATGGCTTTCACCCACTTTTCTTGTGACTGGTTATCTCCCACTTTTCTATAGATTGTGATTATCTCCCACTTTTCTATAGATTGAGATTATCTCTCCTTTTCCCAAGATTGCAATTATCTCCCCTTTGCTTGACATTCATGTCATATCTTGTATTGTGGTGATGTTGTCCTCAGTGCTCATCAGCTGTCAGTCTTGTTGCCTCACCATGCTCACAGACTTGTGTTTACCACAGTTACATGTTAGAAGCACTTTGACTTAGCCACCATGTGCATCAAACAACAAATTATCATTTCTTTGGGCTGCTTTCCATTGTAGTTTTGCTGAAAGGCTAACGAGAGCATTTAACACTTACGCTTCAAACATCATTCACCACTTGCTGAAAACAGCATTCAAAACTCTTACGTAATACAACATTCACCAGTGACATAACACACCACATACCAGTGACATGAAACAACATACTCTCATATACTGTTAATCATGCCCTAGTTTATGTTCACAGGACTTGTGTCATTCCAAATGAACAATTGGCAGGTGATAACATGGTTGTTGCTGTTTAACTGATGTAATTCATCTGCGGAAGCTTGGATGTATTCCACAGCTGTGCTTGTATCAAGTTTCTACACTCCCCAGAAGTGTGTCAACCCTGTGTCCTGTATCATGTCGACTGATTCCTTGTCAGCTTGATAACACTGAACAAAACCCTACAGCTTCCTAACATACAGGGGTCAAGACAAGCTGTGGCAGCAAATTAGTTCTAAAAATACTTTCATTCATAACTTCCTCATCTTGAAAAGATCATTTTCTTTCTATATAGGAATGTGTGAGAAAATGTGAAATGTCCAGGGTCCGACCCGGACAGCATGTGGTCTGCATGTTGATGTATTGACTGCAAAGCTTAGATACATCCCAGTGTTTGCCACTAGGGGTGCCCAGATAACTCCCTGTCTTATTCTCTGGGGAATGTCTGGATAAATCCATGAGAATGCCAAAATAAATACCCATGTTATGCTACTGGGAATGTCAAGATAAATAATTGGGATAAGTTTTTGTGTTACCTCCCTGAGAATAGGTACATAAATCTCTTACCATGCTTAGACAAATCCATGGGAATGCCTGGATAAATCTCTGGGAATGTCGAGATAAATAATTGGTATAAATTCTTGTGTTACATCCCAGAAAATATAAATCTCTTACCATGCTTAGACAAATCCGTGGGAATTCCTGGATGAGTCTCTGTTGAATCTGTGATTTATGCGTCTACAAGATAATGTTCGAGTGATGCACCAATAGCAGACACCTGATGTTCTCCCTGTGTTGTGTTGACACTCGTCTGAACATCACCCTGCCATGTTTGTGTAGAGGCCTGGTGTTCTCCCTGTGTTGTATTGACTCTCGTCTGAACATCACCCTGCCATGTTTGTGTAGAGGCCTGGTGTTCTCCCTGTGTTGTGTTGACTCTTGTCTGAACATCACCCTGCCATGTTTGTGTAGAGGCCTGGTATTCTCCCTGTGTTGTGTTGACACTGGTCTGAACATCACCCTGCCATGTTTGTGTAGACGCCTGATGTTCTCCCTGTGTTGTGTTGACACTGGTCTGAACATCACCCTGCCATGTTTGTGTAGACACCTGGTGTTCTCCCTGTGTTGTGTTGACACTCGTCTGAACATCACCCTGCCATGTTTGTGTAGAGGCCTGGTGTTCTCCCTTTGTTGTGTTGACACTCGTCTGAACATCACCCTGCCATGTTTGTGTAGACACCTGGTGTTCTCCCTGTGTTGTGTTGACACTGGTCTGAACATCACCCTGCCATGTTTGTGTAGAGGCCTGGTGTTCTCCCTGTGTTGTGTTGACACTCGTCTGAACATCACCCTGCCATGTTTGTGTAGAGGCCTGATGTTCTCCCTGTGTTGTGTTGACACTCGTCTGAACATCACCCTGCCATGTTTGTGTAGAGGCCTGGTGTTCTCCCTGTGTTGTGTTGACACTCGTCTGAACATCACCCTGCCTGGTTACAATCTTTGTGTTCATCTTCTAGTATCTGTACTTGTCCTCTGAAGTCACCTTTATCGCTGCCACAAGTTTGATTACATTTTACCATATTTGATGAAGTGTTTGGTCAAAATTATTTTGTTTTTTATGCATATTTTGACATCCTTTCATTTTAATGGACGAACAAAACTTTCCTGTTCGTTCTCTTTTGAAGTCAGTATACATGTATTATGAAAACAATGTAGAGGCATTTCATAAATAAATCTATCAAATCACTGTGTTCTACCCTTTCAGTTATGTAAGGTTTGGGGGCGTTGGGGTAGCCTAGTGGTTAAGCGTTCGTTTGTCACGCCAAAAGCCTGGGTTTGATTCACCACATGGGTACAATATGTGAAGCTCATTTCTTGTGTTCACTGCCGCCATATTACTGGAGTATCACCCATTCACTATTTACAGTTTGCAATGTGCTGAGAAGAGTCGCATCCCTTAAACGTTCCAGGATCTGCCAATTATGTATTTGAACCCCCATATTGGCCCTGAATAGGATCAGTTCCATACCTATTCACATGTTTTTCCGAGTGATAAACTTGGTAACCTTGGTCTTTCTTGCCACAAGATAACAGACACCATATGGTTTAATGTAAATACTGCTCAAAGTGGCCTTGAACCCAACTCACTGTGTGGAAATCTACTCAAGATTGCAGGAGATCACCGACCAGGAAATCATAAATTAGGTTTTTCCATGGAGACATTAAGCGGAGATCAGAAACCAGAGACGCACCCATAAAGTTTCAGTGGGAATTTGTGGAGGTGATCAGAGACCAGGAATTTACCATCATGTTTCATTGGAGACAGGCGAGATCACTGACCTACCATTAGCTTTCCATGGGGACACTTTGGGCAGATCAGAGACAAGCCGCCTTCATCGGGTTTCCATAGAGACACGTTAGGGTGACCAGAGACCCACCCATCAGGTTTCCGTTTGTGAGATCAAAGACCAGAAACTTGCCATCAGGTTTCCCTGAAGACACTTAAGGGGAATCAGGTACCAGAGACCCAAGGTCAAGTTTCCATGGAGACACTTAAAGGAGACCAGGAACCCACCATCAGGTTTCCGTGGGGGATACGTAGGGGAGATCAGAGTCCAGGGACTGCGTTAGAAGCAGATTAATGGAATATCTTTCCGATATGTTGAACGAACACTCTCCCCGCTGAGCTAGCTGAGCTAACTGGCGACGTAAACGTTTGTGAAGCCTCAATACACCCTTGAAGTGAACTCAGATGAGAGATTTCAGGTTTCCATGGAGATAGGGGACATCAGAGACCTTGGACCTACCCTCAGGTTACCATGAAGACACTTTCGGGAGATCAGAGCCCCAAGGACAGGTTTCCTTGGAGATGCTCACGGGAGATCGGAGACCTACATTCAGGGGATCAGAAACCTCAATACACCTTGGAAGTGGGGAGAGCGGGGCCACAGTCCTGGCCAGGATATAGGACTCAGATAACAGGGAGACAATGCCTGTGTTCACAACCCTGAGGACGCCTCTCAGGGCAAGATCACGATCCTCTTATCAAACAGTATTTTGATAGAATGAACTAGATTACGAACACAGTACAGTACATTTACACACTTGTGACCTTGACCTTCATTTAGGACTGGTGTCGGGGAAGGACATACTTTTCCGTTCCTTGAACACTTGGCACTTTGTGCTACTTACGACGACTCGTGAGTGGTAGTTCTTTGACTTGGTATTGGTATTTGGGTATGAGGTCATCGACGAAATTTAATTTATGTAGAGGAGAAATCTTTCCTTCGGGTCTCATTCGTTCTGCTTCCGGAATCAACAGGTTCGAGTTAATTCTCTGTTTGTTTGGTTGGTTGTTTGTTGTTTAACGCCGCACTCAGCATTATTCCAGCTATGTGACGGCAGTCTGTAAATAATCGAGTCTGGACCAGACAATCCAGTCATTGAAATCATGAGCATCGATCCATGCAATTTTGATACGAAGTCATGCATCAACCAAGTCAGCGAGCCTGACCATCCGATCCCGTTAGTCGCCTCCTACAGCAAGCACGGGTTTCTGAAATCCTACCCCGGATCTTCAGGGGTCGACTAAGACTATCGTAAGAGGCGACTATGCTTGTCGTAAGAGGTGACTAACGGTATCAGGTAGTCGGGCTCGTTGACTTGGCTGATGCGTATCATCGATTAGATCATTGATTAGATCGATATGCTTACGATGTCACTCGATTGTCTGGTCCAGACTCGATTACAGACCGCCGACATAAAGCGTGAATATTGCTGAGTGTGGCGTTAAACAACCGAGAACAACAGTGATGTCCATGAGGATGTTGGTTGTTGGTTGTTTAACGCCGCACTCAGCCATATTCCAGCTATATGACGGCGGTCTGTAAAAAATCGAGTCTGGACCGGACAATCCAGTGATTGACATCAAGAGCATCGATCCACGCAATTTGGATGCATCAGCCAAGTCAGCGAGCCTGACCACCAGATTCCGTTAGTCGCCTCTTACGACAGGCATAGTCGCCTTTTACAGCCAGCACGGGTTGCTGGAGACCTTTTCTATCCCGGATCTTCACGGGTAAATTAATACTTTGACTTAAGTGATGGTTATGGTGGATATCAATCTCATTAACATCAGATCTTAGTTCTCGTTACCGCTAAACAAAGATCTGAGGACATCCCATTACGGGTCACGTCAGACCGACCTTGCGCGAACTTTGACTGACCAATGGAATGACCAATCAGAAGGCAGCTTTCTCGTGCTTTACGGCACTAATTTCAAATTGCCGACTACGCTTCGAAACATATTTTGACAAATTCTCGATTACAAATTTGAAACCTTAACAAAAGAACATTCTGGAATGGCTAATAGATGGTCTAGATTGTATGGATTCAGTCGTTAAACCCGTAACTATCTTACGGAATACCCTGTGTTAAAGTGTTCGAGGTTGTATGATTAGAAATCACATTCCGACTGTCACTTTCATGATCTGGTAAGCGACGCTCTGATAGGTCGGATTAAAGGTCGTTCTGACGTGACCCCTAATGGGATGTCTTCAGATCTTTGTTGAGCGGTAGCGAGAACTTAGGTATGATTTTAGTGAGATTGTGGTTGATGTTTAGTTTCTCTATGAGTTTGTATAATGATAAAAGTGACACCCTACCATGTCCGTTTGAAAATGCAAGTACACAATGGCCAGTGAATTATTGGCTCAAGACTCAACCGCAACAATAGCATGGCGTCGTATCTAAACCCAAGGCATACTACTTTTTGTGTGTTCATTGCTGATCGGCCCTCGGTTGCTATGCAACGTGTTTGTACGATCCCCCATTACCAGCAGCTGTTCAGTTGCTATGCACCGAGTTTAGTGCTCGTGCGATCTCTCATTGCTAGCGGCTGTTCAGTTGCTATGCAGCGCGTCTACTGTTCATGAGATCCCTCATTGCCAGCAGCTGTTCAGTTGCTATGCAACGAGTCTACTGTTCATGAGATCCCTCATTGCCAGCAGCTGTTCAGTTGCTATGCAACGAGTCTACTGTTCGTGAGATCTCTCATTGCCAGCAGCTGTTCAGTTGCTATGCAACACCCCCAGTGAGATTTTAGTTGCCTATTTGGTCAGCCGCTGACAGACACGCTAACAATATTTTGTAAAGGAGGAATGGAACAACACATACTACTACTACTACTACTACTACTACTACAACTACTACTACAACTACTACTACTACTACAACTACTACCTGGGAACACATTCTTTCAGGACCTCCTTCGTGAGCAATGCACAGTATTGTTTTAAAAACTGAGACCAATTTCTTCGCGAACAATTTGTACATTTCCACAGAACCCTAGCTATTTTGACATTTGATTCAGGAATCCGTGAGCATGTCAGGTAACAGTGTTTATATATAAATGTATCCTCCGACGAGACAGGTGTTGAGTGTATTCCATCTCAACTGTCTTGTAATGCCTCCCAACCAGACAGGCGTGAGTAAGGGGTTATGTTTATTTGATGCGGGAATTTGCTCGGGCAGGCAAGGCGCTGTTCCCGCCACCAGCTCTGACGACTGGCCTCATGTAGTGTTTACATGTCTGAGTGGGGAAATAATGTACACGAAGGTCAGCGTGACCTGATGACACTAGATGCTGCACTCCTTCATACCACGAGATGTAGGTCAGCGTGACCTGATGACACTAGATGCTGCACTCCTTCATACCACGAGATGTAGGTCAGCGTGACCTGATGACACTAGATGCTGTACTCCTTCATACCACGAGACGTAGGTCAGCGTGACCTGATGACACTAGATGCTGCACTCCTTCATACCACGAGATGTAGGTCAGCGTGACCTAATGACACTAGATGCTGCACTCCATACCTCGAGATGTAGGTCAGCGTGACCTAATGACACTAGATGCTGCACTCCTTCATACCACGAGATGTAGGTCAGCGTGACCTGATGACACTAGATGCTGCACTCCTTCATACCACGAGATGTAGGTCAGCGTGACCTGATGACACTAGATGCTGCACTCCTTCATACCACGAGATGTAGGTCAGCGTGACCTGATGACACTAGATGCTGCACTCCTTCATACCACGAGATGTAGGTCAGCGTGACCTAATGACACTAGATGCTGCACTCCATACCACGAGATGTAGGTCAGCGTGACCTGATAACACTAGATGCTGCACTCCTTCATACCACGAGATGTAGGTCAGCGTGACCTGATGACACTAGATGCTGCACTCCCTCATACCTCGAGATGTAGGTCAGCGTGACCTGATGACACCAGATGCTGCACTCCCTCATACCACGAGATGTAGGTCAGCGTGACCTGATGACACCAGATGCTGCACTCCTTCATACCACGAGATGTAGGTCAGCGTGACCTGATGACACTAGATGCTGCACTCCTTCATACCACGAGATGTAGGTCAGCGTGACCTGATGACACTAGATGCTGCACTCCTTCATACCTCGAGATGTAGGTCAGCGTGACCTGATGACACTAGATGCTGTACTCCTTCATACCACGAGATGTAGGTCAGCGTGACCTGATGACACCAGATGCTGTACTCCTTCATACCACGAGATGTAGGTCAGCGTGACCTGATGACACCAGATGCTGCACTCCTTCATACCACGAGATGTAGATCAACGTGACCTGATGACACTAGATGCTGCACTCCTTCATACCACGAGATGTAGGTCAGCGTGACCTGATGACACTAGATGCTGTACTCC